CTAACAAATTATTTGAGCTGTTAAATGATATGTCTACAGAAATTAATTCTTTAAAAGCACAAGTTATTAAACTCAATCAAAATAATAAAAAAAATATAAATTCGACTGAGGTATAATTTATAATTTATTTAGAGTTTGGGTCCCGTAGCTTAGCGGTTAAGCTCTCAAACCCCCACAGACAAGGTCGATGGTTCAAGTTGGGCTGGAGGCAAATTATTTAATTTGTTTCTGTAACCTTAGGAGGCCATAATTGAATGCGAAGCCTTGTGGCTAAGTCCAAGTGCAAGTATGAATCTGGATTAGGAATTCCTGGAAGAAGACCCAAACATGAAGGGTGGGCACTATGTATAACTGCGGTGTTACAGAAGACTGCTGCTATGAAGATTGCACAAGTGAGTCCTTCGAGATGGGGCAGCACCAACATCCTTGTATCTCCAGTTTAGACAATACCAACATCCTTACATCCAACTTGTGGGGTACTTGCTTGAAAGGGTAGTCAATGAACTGCGTGAATTAGTCCTTATCTGGATTGAAGATACAGGTACTTGATTGGGAGGGTGATCATCATTACCAAAGTTGGAGTAGTGAGAAAAGTGGTGAACACATAGACAGACTGTGATAAAGAATTGGCCTTACTAGAAGCAGAAGCATCTCTGGCAGTGCAGAATGAAAATACTATAGAAGACAAAAAATATGGAGGTTGTCTAACATTCCGAGTACATGTAAAAGTACCAAATTGGGCTCCGGTCACACCTATATGGAAGTCTATAACGAACAAGTTTAGGATCTACCAACCTCTGGGGTTTACAATTCAAAATAGTAGTACAGCATCACTGGGGTCAGTGTAACTCTCTGGATATAACCGGAATTGTCCTGGTCTTGTATGACAACATGCTGGAAGCAAGTATAATATGGTAGTATGGTGTCACTGAGGTCGGTGTAACTCCCTAGATTCAACCAGAATTGTCCTATATACTTGTGAAATAAGTCCTAAACCCCACATAGCAGATAGTCCTTAAAAAAAAGAATGGAGGAGTGCACTGAGCAACTGTATAACATTAAGACCTGGGGCATCTGTGGTTGAACTGCGGCAGCAGAAACTGGCTTGAGATACGGGTTAGTAGTACCTGGGCAGAAATGTGAAAGGGATTACCCGTCAATAAAATACCAACTCTGTCATGTGGTGAACCTAACTAGGCAGCAGTTTCTAGCTTGAGATACGAGTTTTTGCAGATCCTGGACCTTTGTCGGAATTTCCTTAGGAGAATTAATAACATAGCACACCAAACTAAGAGATCATCAGGATCTATAACCTGAATATTACCAATTTGGGAGTTATATAAAAGCGAAAAGGTAGGTGATGCAGGGAACATAGTCTAGCTAGATATAGTAGTTTCAGGGTGCAGGAGTAGTATCGGATACGGGTCTGATCCTTCCTACCGCAGGCGGTTTAATGACAATGTCTCTCCAAAGTGGAAGATACTCTGACTGCTAGTATTGGTTTCGGCTATAGCGTGCCGGTGGTGCAACTAGGATATATTTGGACACTCTAAGGCAGCCAGATAAATGTCAGGTCACCAGTTGGGTTAGCATAGCCTAGTATTAGGTTGTAATATAGTTCAAAAATTATGTATGTATTTATGGATAAATCTAATAAAGGCTTCACCAGCTTTCCTAGCCAAAGTTTAAAAAAAAAAAAAAAAAAAAAAAAAAAAATTTATAATTTATTTATTATAAATATAAAATATGTTTTATTTATACATAACAATAATATTAGCTGCAAGATTTAATCGAAGTTGAAAGTATTCCAAAACCTACTGGATTAAAATATATTAATTTAGCTGAAGTCTTAGGATTAGACCATAGCATTGTATTAGAATATCAGGTTTTTTTAAATTATTAAATTTTTTAATTTAATATATCTAATTAATTTAATTACTAATAAAAATATTTTTAATATTGTAGAGTGATATTCGTGATTTGGTTAAACGAAAATTAGATATACAAAAAACTTGGAAAGATCAAGATATTAATGCAATTGCTCATGTTATTAGATTGGTAAATTTATTATTATTTATTTAATTAACAATAAGATAAATATTATTATTAACTTATTATTTAGTTTAAACATAGAAATATAAATTTTTCAAAATGTAAACATGATTGGGCTATTAAACTTATAATTCATCGTGTAATTATTAATGCTCATAAGTATATTAATATTTAATCTATATTTTTATATATTTAATAATTTATTTATTTTTAATTTTGTTAATTAAATAATT